CAATCCACACAGGTTCTATTGTCAGAGGTGTTGAGCCCCTGCAGGTTTCTCTGCCTTCAAAGGGAGTTTCAAGTGCTCCGCACCTATACACATCAGGCCCAGGTTCTTCAGAGTTGACTTAATTTTTTAGCCTCAATGAGGCACAAGGTCCATAAAGCTTAGCATGATAGTGAAAGAACCTGCTGGGAGTCCTGAGCAAGTGGAGAAGGTCATACTTGAGATTGGTTTCAGGATATTTCACCACAAGGAGAGGCACCATACCTGTAACAGGATGGGATGTGCATTCACTGACAGTGTGTAGAGGAGGCGTAGTTTGTCCCGGTCTGTGAGGTGATCCATGTAGATACTGCCAGCATCTGGCACCTCAGCATAGCGCCGCACTATTCTGTCTAAGAGCCGCTGTGAGGGACAGCGCAGCATTGGACTAGGTAGCCCCTGGGAGGAAAAAACAAAGGTACTTGGGATGACTATACTTGGCAGCTGTAAGAGTTCACAATATTTCAGCCTAGTAGGATCTGCTCTACATGCTATTTGAGAACTCTGCCAGCAGGTTTATACCAGATCCCCCTTACAGCTACCTTTATAAGGGATTCCTCTCAATTACTGTTAGCAATGTGGAGCAGGTTAGGGATATTCTACAGTAGACTCTTCTTTAAACACTGAACTATGTTGGCTACAATCCCATGTTTCAGACTTTCCCTACGCTATGTATTCATGAAGGTATCTCAAAACAGCACACAGTTTCTGAACCATCCAATCCAACCTGGAGGTCTTGCTCCTGTCTGCCTCTGTGTCAGTACATTGAACTAATTTTGCTTCTAGGGTCTGTGTCCCTCTGTGCAAATCTCTGTAGTAAGTGTTGTTCATTCACTGGTGTTCTCCATCTTTCTGGAGCCCTCTCCCTTCAGTGAGTCACTTCCTTCTTTCAAAGAGCATCTTCCAAGCACATCCTTGTTCACCTTAGCCTATGGCTGATCTTTTTCTATGATATTATTCACTAGGGATGCTAGATAAAATTTAAAAACTCACATATACATATTGTATGTAGGTGTCTGTATAGGATGTATTCTCTTTCTGATAAGGTTTACATATAGGTTTAATATCTTGCTTATACTTGCAGATACCAGCAACAAATGATTCTCAGGTTTATGGATTCATCACATGGTAAGCTGCATTTTCTATATTTGAATATCTGAGTTATAAAAGTACATAAAAAATCTGCAGCTGGTATAAATGACAATGTTTATTTACACTGATGTACTTTGACATAGCTTAATTTTTAAAACACATGCACTTTACTTTGTCAGTTATGGAGAAATGACACGGAGAATTAACTCTGACAGTATCTAAATGTTACTAGTCCTCTTATATTTCTCTCTTCCAGAACAGCATTAGCAAGAAGATATTTATTCTTTGTCTAGCACAAAACTAAGCAGAAAAATGGCAATTCTGTCTTACAGTTCTCTCAGACATGTTATTGCTGACTTCGAGTCACTTTTCCTTTGGAAGAGAAGTGAGGGGGGAAAAAGAGCCAAGCAGAATTGTGTTAAATGGTTGATAAGTGGTGACGAAGTTCTCTTGTCGCTGAGAGTGTGTGCAAATATTTGCAGCCAAAGTTAGAAATCCCTGCTGCCTACAGGAGTTTGTAATGCAAACGCTGAGACCCATAACTACGTGCTGTCGGAGCAGAAATGGGGATACTTTAATGCAATAAAAAAATGTAATTTCCAACTTCATAGCTCATCCTATTATATGAACTTGGCAAGGTGATCAAAGCTGTTCACTTCCCATGGAATTATTTTTGGGATTTCCTAATTAAAACTGTGACTGGCGCTTTTTCCACTACAAAGATCAGAATCCTATAGCTGCCTCATTCACACTGCTCAGCAGGGAGCAGATAAGTGAATCTGAAATACAAGTCGGTGTGAACATGCAGGAGTATCCAATGTATGTTTGTCATTAATTTGGGAGCCAGAACACACCCACTTGAGTTAAATGGTCTTCAGACTGCTCATTCATACTTTCTGACTTGAGGCCAGTGCTATTTATGGCATGGAAACAGAATGAACAAGGGTGAGGCTGGAAGCTGAATAGGTGAAATCCTTGTTTCCCACATAGATATCAACAATTAATACAATTTCTTAATATTTTAATTACTTACCAAAGACCTCGGTCCAGCAAAGCACTATTCAGGTAAATAGGCTTCGTTAGCTTCAATAGGTGTACTAACATGCTTAAAGTTTAGCACATCTTAAGTGCTTCACTGGAGTGGGGTCAGCATTTTTAGGGGGAAAGAACAGTGCCATCTCTGCTGCTGAAAAGAAAGTCAATTAAAAAATGTAAATCTAAAATTGTAAAATTGTCAGACAAAATCCACTGACTGGACACACACCTGAAGATCTTGCAATTCAAAGCACTAGAAATAATTGGTTTATCTACAGAATGTCTTAAGTCCCTTGTAATGTCTTCTCACCCTATAAACTAAGGCTATACACTACAGCCCATGTCGGCATAATTTATGGTGCTTGAGGTGTGAAAAACCACCTCCCTGAGCGACATAAGTTATGCTGACATAAGCACTCCTGTCTGTGCACAGCGGTATGCAGGCAGGAGAGCTTCTCCCACCAACATACTTCTGCTGCGCGTGGAGGTGGTTTTATTATGCCGATGGGAGAGCTCTCTCCTGTCGGCATAGAGCGTCTACACAAGATGCACTGCAGTGGCGCAGCTGTATCACTGTACATATAGACATAGCCTTAGACATGCCAACTCATTTGACAGCATGTTTGGCGCTGTGTCACGGTGCTTCTCATTTAGTTTGGTTTAAAAAAATCCCACGTTTGTGTCTAATAAGGGACTGACCCAGCTATATCAACTTTCACTCAAATGGAATTTTTTCCTAGTCCATGACATGCAGCGAACAGGGCCGGCTCTAGGCACCAGCAAAACAAGCTGGTGCTTGGGGCGGCACATTTCTAGGGGCAGCGTTCTGGTGCTGGCCATGCCGCCCCTAAAAATGTGCACCGGCTGCCCTAGCTCACCTCCGCTGCTGCCGCTCGCGTGCCCCCGGGTGGGAAACAGCTGAT